CTGCTGAGACAATCTAGTTTACTGGGAGACACTTTTATTAATGTCATTGGTTTGCAAACAACTCTCTGTGGAAACAAAGTGAAAGGGCATTGTTCATTGAAAGGCCTTTGTTAGCCCTAGATTTTTAGTACCAAGAAGTGGGCTTCCCTAGGTGATAAGAACAAATAAATGTATAAAAGCTAGTCACATCAATATCAGCAGGTGCTCCTCTATTATGAATGCAATACCAACTCAGAGACTCCTTTTGCAATGTAGGACTTGAACTTTGAGAAACCCACTAGGGATTCTCCGTCTTTCAATTTGCCAAGCTGAGTTTATCAAAACAATCATCTTACTTTAGATTTGCAACCAGTTTTCTATGCTCAGCCATGCCATTTCCTTAATCACATTTGATTCCCCATCAATATTTTTATGAGTTTAACTGGTTCCAAGGTTTTCATTAGACTGTTCTACCATCCTCCCACCCCTAACATAGCTGCCTTTTGTTCCAGCCAAATAAATCACTTGGCACCATTTTTCTTACTCCCTCTGCTACTTCCATATCTTCTACCCACTATGTCTGGAACAGCCTCCCACTTCCATCTGTCATTTTCTGTCTCTCCCCTTAAATCTTTGCTTCCACACCACCTCTCCCAGGAAGCCCACCTTAATTGTGATTAGGGCTCGTTAACAGCTCTCATCTGACACTCTCAATGGAAAGGGGATGCAAAAATTGTAGGATGACCAGCAGACATGTCACTTTCTGAAAACAAATTCCTTTTTGGAGATCAAGGCAATGCTTTACAGCCTAATAGGAGTGATGGTGGAATATATTTTCTAAGAGATATAACTAAAGAGACCATTTCCACAAACCCCCCCTTTTAGTGACTGAAGTCCTCTATTCCAATTCCCTATAGTCCTGCTTCCGGTTTTGTTTTTTTTAACTCCTAGATGAAGTCTGTTAACAATACAGTTGGCCCTTGAACACAAGTCTTGAGTAAGTGGGTCCACTTATAGGCAGATTTTTTTTATATCATTTGATGCTAATCATTTCTGCTTGAGCAGTTCACCTCTCCAGTAAACTGTATATCGCAATAAAAAGTAATCTCACATTTCTTGTGTTTGGTGCAATATCATAAACCTTGAATAAAATGGTGGGATCCACATGAATCGTCACTAAGTGATGCTGGGGGTGCTCCCAAGAAACAGAAAACTCATGACATTACAAGAAAGTGTTCAAGTGCTTGATATGTGCCCTGGCTTACAGTCTAGCTGCCACTACTTCAATATAAACGAACCCTAATTAAGGACCACTGTAAAAGATAAAGGCAATCTGTGAAGTTGTTGCTATAGCCATGCCAAAATCCACTGCCATCAAGCCCATTCCAGTTCCCAGCAACCCTTTATAAATAAGGTGCATGAGGCTACATCTTTATAGGAACCAATAGTTTCACCTTTCTTCTGCAGACCAGCTGGTGGGTTTAAAGTATCAACCCTGTGGTTAGTTTTAAAGACCAATGTGCTACTGACACAGTTTTAAAGACCAATGTGCTACCAAGGCCAGCAGGCACACAAGCCTTGAACTTTTGGCAAAATACCTTTTTATCTTGTATTGAAAATGCAGTTTTTAAATGTATGCAATATATAATACATAGAATATATGTTAATCAACTCTGGATGTTATAAGCAAGGCTTCTGATCAATAGCCTGTTATTAGTGGTTACAATTTTAGAGTGGCATGTTGATTTTTTGACTGTGCAGGTATGTGTGTACGTTGGCAGAGGGACGCTCGTAACCCTGCGTTGTTAAGGGTCAATTGTACATGCATGTTTGCATCAGTCAGAAAGGTTGAGCCAATGTTTTGGTAAAGCACTTAATATTTAAATTAGATGTTTTGAATGTTGAAGGAATTTTAAAAAAGCAATCAGTACCGATGGCATTTGTACAAATTCTGAGAGCTGTGTTTATGGGCACCTTTGCTTCTAATAGAAATGGGATAGCCATGACTCTGAGTTTGGCTTCTTATTCTTAAGGACCAAGTTTCAGATGTGGTGGGGTTACTCACCCTCATACTTACTGAGTCCCATTTACTTTTGTTTTATATGAGCAAATGTAGCTTTAGTTAGGCAAGCTTTTCACCCTTGAGGAATTATGGATAAGGTCCCAAGCCCCAGCAAAGCCGAGGTCAGTTTGCATCATTTCCATCTCCCTTGGTTGGTATCCTTAGTAATTCAGGGTAAGGGTGAGTTCAGGACACACACGTTAGCAAAGACAGTACTGCAGGGTGGGGAGGGCACCCAATCCCGTCAGTATGCTTTAGTTACCAGAATATTTGACACACCCACAAATTAAATAGCAAAACATTTTAATCCATTAAATCTAAAAATAACAGGAGACGTTTTATATCTGGTGCCACCTCCTCAAAAGCCTCCTGCAGATTACACAGTCAGACTGCGAATTACAAAGTCAGACATGAACCCTAAAGATACAGTTTGGACAAGACCCCCCTAGGTGATGCTTACTTACCCTTCTGTGCAGAAATATAATGTCAGTTTAAAAACTCCTTAAACAGAGGTTCTCAACCTTCCTCATGCCGCCACCCTTTAATATAGTTCCTCATGTTGCGGTGACCCCCAGCCAGAAAATTATTTTTGTTGCTACTTCATAATTGTAATTTTCCTACTGTTATGAATCAGGCGACCCCTGTGAAAGGGTCGTTTTATACCCCCAAAAAGGGTCGAGACCCACAGATTGAGAACCACTGCCTTAGAAGAAAAGAGAAAGCTTTCGCATGCTCTATACCTCTCTCTTAAACAAAACAACCTCCAAAGTTTGAGACTCTGGACTGGACCCCTGGGCCTAACAACTATGGTTTAGTTCTATTTCTACCAGCAAGGAATGTGAGGTACTATGCTTGTTTTAGTTACAAGAGGTGTTGGGAATGAATTCCCACTCACATTTAATAATAAACTCATCTAGCACACAACTCTGCAGCACAGCACCAACAACAGGAGTGTTTAAAGCAGGTGGCGTAGAAAGTAGACATTAATACAACCCAAGCTTTCCTTTGGCTTTTCCCCCATCTTATAGTGAGAATTCAGCACAAAGACAAAACTCTCCAGGAAGCCCATATTGTCCTTCAGCCCACCACATTCCAGACTTCTGGTTTCTGACCCCCAGTCCCGAGAGCCTCAGGCTTTAGTAATGTATCCTTCTCGGATGAGAAAATCATAAATTTTCCGGGTTTTGTTCACATCTATCTTGATCAGTGCTCTTGCCTGCGCCAGTCTCAAGCCTCCTTGCTTGTTGCATTCGTTCAACAGAGCGGATTTGTATTCTAAATAGGCTCCAGGGACCAACCTCACCATCTGACAAAGCTGCAAGACACGGCAAATTTAATAAACATTAACATCTGTCATTTTCATAATTTAATCCAACAGGTATGGCAAGCAAAAAAAAACACAAAAAAACCAGTGACATCAGCCACTAACTATTTTTAGGAGCTATTGGGTGGCTGGGCCACATTCCATTTAGTGTCATCTCTGGAGAGAACACTCCCCACAGACAGACAGACAGACAGACAGACATCTAGGAAGACAAGGCTAGGCTGTGCTGTGAGGAAGGACTTCAGGACATGCAGTTTGTCTCAGGGGCCTGAGCTTGTCAGGAGCTCCACTATCAATCCAACCATCAGGTGGGGAAAGGCCTCAGGGCACAGGGGATGGGGGTGATGGCCCAGATTCGATACTTTGATTCTGGAGTGTGACTATTTCAGTGTAGGGATGAAGAAGCAGTCCCCTGCTTTTATGATTACATTTCCTACTTCAGCAGGAAAGACTGACAGCTTGTTAAGAAGATGCCACTTTAGCTGCTAAAAAATCTAGAAAGCTGGCTCACTTTCATCTCGCCTGCCTTTATTCAGCAATGAGGAGCCTGCGATCACCATTATGGGGATAAAGGTAAAAACAGTTAGAAATTCTGGGCCATTCAATACTTAATCAGACTGGCCTATAGAAATACTTAGATAATACATTCACTTCCTTGTACTCCCAAATTAATCTTTATTCTGAGAAAATGCACAACTTTCCAAAGTGGCCATTCTCCTGGGATAGACTACAAGTGTGCAGGCTATGTCCAATGAATGGTGTCGATGGGATTCCCTTACACTCTCTCCCCTAGATCCCCTCAGTTTTTTACCTCCTTTTCTTTTTCATTCAGCTTTTCTGTTCCCGGGAGGCCAGTGAGGTTCAAGGGTGGTGCACTTCGTCTACCTACAAGCACAGACAGAAAAGGGAACACAGACAGGTGTGTCAGTTCCTCGGGTACAACTATGGAGTCCAGTGCAGCCAGGCCAGCTAGGCAAAGCGTCATATGCCCCGCTCTACAGTTTCTATTCATCTGCTCAGGCCTCAGCTTAGCAAGCAGCATGGGTACTTTCACTGGGAACTGTAGGTGATAATCCACATGTCCCTTTCTCAGCCAAGATACACATACAGTCACAGATACATTAGCATTAAATGACAACTCACAATAGTTATCACCTATTTTTCCTAATCAAGTGGGCAACTAAATTCAAGTGCAGATGTCATGGGGTTAGAAAAGGTCACACCCTGCCTGCCTGGATGGTTGATGAAGAAAAATAACAACTCAGTAGGACAGATATTATATTCCCTAACCCTTGCAGTTCTGCCAGCAGCACAAGGCAAACGTGGTAATTAAGTACAATTTGCCTTCAGATCAAAAGCCGTCTGGTAGGCCAGTTAGACCCTTCATATTTAATACATGAGGGAATATCTGTTCCATCCAAAGTTGCAGTGTTTACCTGAGAGATCCACACACAGGAACAATGAAAGATTATGCTGCAGGGCAGGGGCTGAGGTCAACTCACATACCTGGGCAAGAAACCCAAGTAGGAGGTCACTGTCCAGGAAGACATGCTCTTTTGCACTTAATGCCTCTTTGGTACCAATGTTCAATTGGGGGAATAGATGAATTAAGTTATACAAAACAAAACATGGACGAAATATTAACATGTTTTAAGGGGCTCCTTTTAAGGGGAAACAGAAGAAGGGTGGATTGTTACAGGCTCTGTGAGAAAACAAGCTCCTTTATATGGTCAACAAAGGCCATACAGGCCCAGTTGTAGGCCAAATGCTCAAAAATGGAGATGAAAATCATTTGGTGTTTCACGAAAGTCCCCAGAGGCTAGGCTACAGGCAAAGTTGCCAGGTTCCTGGCTTTGCAAAGCCTTAGGCGGAACTCTGAGCCTAAAAGGGAGGGGAGGAAGGGGTCTCTGTACCTTAAACATAGTGGGTGAGAAGGGCTAACACTAGCCTAGGGTGCAACAATGAGTAAGTGAGGTTGATTCAGAAGACACAAATAGCAATGTCGCACACTTATATCAGTCTGCTCTCTTATCTTCATAAGCTACTATTAGGATATTTGTATTTCTGTATTAAACCCTTTGAAGGGGAGAAAGAGGCCCAGGAAGAGAGAAACGTGTGAAACAGCAGTTGTATCTAGCTGGCCCGGCAACTCACAGAAGCTCCCCTTTTCTCCCTTGAGTATTAAATTAATTGCTTGAAATAAAGGAACAAATGAGAAAAAAATACATAAATATAAAATAAAGGCAGAGAATATATATATATATATACATATGGCCCTATCTAGACCCTGAATTTACTGAGAAATTCTGAATGGGATCGCAGGTCTATTGTTCCAAGCCTTGCCAAGAATGGTAAAACTCAAAGTGGGTTGTCTTTTTGACTATTCTGCTCGATGGATGGAGCGGGCATATGTTGTGATTGAAGGAAACACTCCCTGACCAGATGGTGCCGAGGAGAATAAAACTGTGGGAACGGGTAGAGAAACACCACACCCCTGGTTTCAGAGATCCTTCTATAAGAGGGGTCTGGGCGGCTCCGTTGGGTAAGTACTGGACTGCTAACCAAAAGGTCAGTCATTCAAGTGTACCAGGTGCATCAAGAAAGACGAGACTGTCTGCTTGCATAAAGATTTACAGCCTCAGAAACCCTATAGAGTAGCCATGTAACTAACACCTCCCCAATTACCTGAGGCTGATTACCAGTCACTCAGGAGAATCAGAGGAGCCCTGGTGGTGTAGAGCTTAAGACCTTGGCGGCTAATTGAAAGGTCAGTAGTTCAAACCAACTAGCTGCTCCGGGAGATAAGGATGAGGCCGTCTGCTTTTGTCAAGCCTTGAAAACTCTATGGAGCAGTTCTAGTCCATCCTTACAGGTTGCTATGAGTTAGAATTGACTGGATAGCAACAGATTTACTGACTACCGGACAGCATATCGTTTCAGTTGGGTAAAGTAACCTAAAAATAGGGTATACCCAATGAGGGAACGCTAAGAAATAGAAATACCTTAAATCTTTCACTTACAAAGACCTACTGGGGTTTCTACAAAGCTTTTAATTTCTCCCCTGCAGGACAAATACAATTATAGATAAAACCACAAGTAAATTAACTAACCAGGAATTAGTGAAATAAAGAAGTCACCTCTGTGCCATCGTTTCTTCCCATCTCTGTACTCTAATTCTGAGGCGAGCCCTAGCAGGTCATGATAATGCTGGAAACATGCTGATGTTTATAAACTGGGTTGACACTTGCTCATCTTCACTGTGCCGAATCATCTCACTCCTACAATTGGGTTACCCTATTTCCTAGCTCACAAGCTTCACAATAAAGACTTGATCTAGGCTGAGATATAATTACCTGAATTTGAAGCCATTGGAATAGAAGGGCTCAGGCCGGAATCACTATAATGAAAAAGGGGGATTTAAACAAGGTCATATCAAAGACAATTTCCAAAAGCTCCTGTGTTGACTGGGTGCCAATTTTAGGTGGGTCACTTTGTTGAGACTATACTACGTTTTACAAGATACACCAATGTACCAATCAAGGAAAAATTCCTCTTCTGAGGGGAAAAGGCCTCTGGGACTAGCCAAAGCGAGCTCCGAGTCTGCGATGCCATTAAGACTAACCCTTCAGAAGGGATCGGAAGATGACTCCACAGTGGAAACCATCGTCGATCTGAGGGGTGCTGGGAGTGGGGGTGGAGGACAGGGCATATGGGTAGGAGGTTAAAGGGGAACACATTAATTTAAAAATAAAATCAAAGGGCCCAAATGGATCTAGGAGGTCTGCATGTTTATCCAAACTATCATAATGCACTTTGTCTAAGATGGAGAGCTAAAACTTTTTTGAATTCTTCTAGTTGCTCAATTATTGTTACCCTGCCACTTAGGGTGCTTGGCCATGGGAAGTGTCAGGAAAGACATGCAAAGCCAAAGTGTCCGTGAGGGATTGTCTCTGTCACTCCAGAGAGAGATTCCTAAACTTATTAGGCCTACTGCCCCCTTTTCAGAAAAAAGAAGAGAAAAAAAATTACTCATTACCCCTGACACTAAGAAACGTTTGTACTCTAGCCCATAACCCAGGGTAAAATGCAGATAACTGCTGCCGTAGTACCCTGGATTGTTCTAGGGCTCCTCTGGGTCAGTAGCACCCACTTGGGGAAACCCTGCTCTAGACAAATTGCTCACATGTCAGCTTGCCGGCGGAGCCACTGCTGGCAAGCACTGCTGTCCTGGATGTACTGAAGAACTTCAGAGAGCATGGTGCGCTTCAGGCGCTCTTCCTCTCGCGTTTTCTTCAGGTGATCATAGGTCCTGGCACCTGGGGGTGTAGAAAACACCACGACCGCAATGGGCAGCACACAATTAGTCTTGTTGATTTCTTTAGCAAAACTTCCACAATTATTTTTCCAAGGACAAAGTGTATTTCTCCTAGTCTGAAATCCTTCTTGACACCAAATTATACACATTTCCCCCTTTTCTATCATTAAAATAGAGGAAACAAACCAAATGTATAAGTAATGTATAAGTAACATGAATTTATATTCCCATGCCCAAAAGATTTTTTAACTTAATGCTGTTGTATTTATTTCTTGTCTTACTTTTTTCTACTTATGTATATTTTTAAAGTCATATTAAGTGATAATATACCTTTTCTGAACAATTTGACTTACCAAAATAAATAAGTCCTCTTTCCCAGAGGCAACCAATACCAGGAAACCAAAATAATGTATCAGTCTTTACATGAATCTTGCTAAACAAAAAAGTTGCCTTTTCCCTACTATACATCCACATTAACAACAACATCCAGATTCCAATGTATCATGCCAGCAGGTTTCCAACTATGTACCATGGGCCACTTATCTCAGGAGCTATTGTGAAGAGCAAATGCAGTTCAAACACCGGCATTTACACATAAGTGAAAACCATCTAACTATGATAGCCTAGTTCATCTCCTGTAACAGTTCCCACTATTAGAATACTTTAAGAGTCATGATACTAGACTGAACTTACATCCACAGGACTATGTTAAAAACCATAGCTACTTGTAGGTAGTATGTAATGGCTTCCAGCCAAAAGGGGTCTTGAAACAGGAAGAAGGAATGTGAAAAATCATGCTAACAATAACAACAGTAGAAGCTACTTATTGAAGAGTTACTGTATGCTAAGTATTGTGCTTTGTGGAGTTTTTTTGTGTTTTTTTTATAGTTTTATTAGGGGCTCATACAACTCTTATCACAATCCATACGTACATCAATTGTGTAAAGCACATTTGTACATTCGTTACCCTCATCATTCTCAAAACATTTGCTCTCCACTTAAGTCCCTGGCATCAGCTTCTCATTTTCCACCCCCTCCCCGCTCTCCACTACCTCATGAACCCTTGATAATTTACAAATTATTCTTTTGTTATATCTTGCCCTGTCCGACATCTCCCTTCACCCACTTCTCTGCTGTCTGTCACATGTAGATCCTTGTAATCGGTTCCCCCTTTCCAACTCACCCTCCACCACTGGTCCTGAAGGGATCATCCGCCCTGGAGTCCCTGCCTTTCCAGTTCCTATCAGTACCATTGCACATCCTCTGGTCTAGCCAGATTAGTAAGGTAGAATTGGGATCATGATAGTGGGGTAGGAGGAAGCATTTAGGAACTGTGCTTTGTTTTAACACACTATCTCCAATCATCATGCTAACCCTATGAGACTTGGAGACCTTACATAACTTGAATAGGATCATAGAACTGGTTCAGTGGAGAGCCAGAATACAAACCAAGTCAAAACCAAGTTTGAGTCTAGACTCTAAGCTCTTAACAACTATAGAACACTGCCTTTCTCTTTAAGACTTGGCTCTACTGCTGACTACCTCTTTAATCTCTTTAAACCTTAATTTCTTCTTAAATGGAGTAAAAGGTACATATCTCATGAGTCAATGATGGAGACCAAATAATATGATCTGGGTAAAATGGTTAGCACAGACCCTGGTACATGTTAAGGAGCTATTAATATGACTACTACCACAGCCTTGAGTATGTGGGATGCTAACACCTTGTCAGTTGAAGCTTGGTTAATTAGCATGATTAGATCACGCATTCCTAAATTTAAAAGATTTTAAGCTAAAACCTAAAACTGCAATAAAAAACCTATTTTTTCTTTTTTTGGTAGACAGAACAGAATCCTATAGATATAGCAGCAGCATCGTTTTCTGTGCTTAACAACTCTCTTTTTCAGATAATACATGTCATGTAAGGCATTTACAAGTTTTAGACAGACAAAGTGTTGTTAGAATTAGAAAGTAAGGTCAAAAGCTCCTCCTGAAAAAAGAAAAATGTTAAAGGAAAAAAAAAACAAAAACCCACACTACCCCAAATAGCAATTTCCCTCGGAGTGTCTAGAAGACACTCCCCTCCGAGTGTCTAGAAGACACTCCCCCCTCAGTATGTAGCATTCAGCATACTTACTACAAAAGTTGGTAATGCCGGCTGTCCTATATTCTTGGAGCCTCTTGATTTCCCTTCGGAGTTCAAATTCCACTGTTTCCCCCAAAATAATAAAGATAAAAATTGAGAAAATAAAATTAACATGAATGAGTGGTCCTGTTGAGGATTTTCAGTAATTCTGGCTCTATGAAAGCTTGGGTCACTCCATTGAGGGAATCCTACTTGCTGGTAACTTTTCATTAGAAAAACCCACTTTAGCTGCCATCTCTGGGAGACAGCAGCTGAATTGTCTCAGAAAAGCCACAGTCAATTGGTTGGATTCGTTTGTCTACAGAAGTAGTGCACTTAGTTTTTAAAACAAGAAGTCTGCTGGGACTGTTAAAAAGTTCTATACAGACAACCAAATTCTTTTGTGAAATAAACAAGTGTCTATTATTACTTGATGTGTGGATGCATGAGAAAGACAAATGTTCTGTGCTAAGCCCTAGATAGTTTCTTTGTAGATTTCCTCCTATAGGGCCATCAGAGCCTTATTTACCATAAAGCTGTGCTTTTTGCCTCCTCTTAAGCACAGAGCTCAGGTTGTGCTACGTGAGGCTATTATGTGCTACGACATTCTAATTTGGGTACTTAGAAACGGAATGAAGGAAGAGCCTGTTTGGAGGTAACACATCAACGGGCAGGGAGTAAAGCAGCAGTCAGTACAAAATAGACAAAGAATGCTAGCCAAACAGGGTGTTTAGTGGATACAATCATTCTGACTCAGATGAATGCCTATAATACTTATGCAAGAAATAATTCCACAACGAGGACAGGAAAGATTAAGTATTTTTCCAGAATTAAACATACACAAATCTTAAGTCCATCTTGTTTTGAAATCCAGGCTTATGGTTAAACTGTCATCTTAAAAAAAAAAAAGACGTCAACATTTTTTTTTTTAATGGTGAAAATCCAGTATTGGCTGGGTAGAGTGCTCTCAGGACTATTCCAGAGATGATGGATATTTATACCTGAGTCATCTAGCTCTGTCCCCATTCCTAAAACTAGTTATCTGTAATATTAAAATGTATATGGACATCTGATATTTATTTCAAAATAATCTAGTTCAGGGTGGGAGGGGGTGGGTGGTAAAGATGCAATCAGTTAGGGAATGACCAGGTGTTGATAACTCTTGAGGCTGGGTAACAGATACATGGGGGCTCATTATACTATTACCTTTCCTTCTGCATATACTTGAAAACCTCCATAATAAAAATCAAGTGGGAAAATACTACAAACCTACTTTTTTATCTGGGGAAAAAGGTGAGCCACTAGACTTTTCAGTCTCTCTTCTCCTACCCCAAAGCCCGACATTTATCTTATGGTAATAAAAGACAGCAAAGACCACTTATAATGGAATTTCACATAAAACATACAATAAACTTTTCCCCCCACAATCAACTATTTACACACACACACACACACACACACACACGCGTGCGCACACTTACTTGCTCAAGGCCCAAGACCACTTACATGCATGACTTTCAATGAACTTGTCATGCTCCACTGGGCCCACAATCCTTGCAAATCGCCTCATTGTTTCATAAAGGTCTTGAACCTCCTTCGGATAGCGCCGTTCCATTACTACAGAGGAAGTAAAAGCATAACCAAGTCATGGAGAATGTAAGGAACTCTAAATTTTCTGCATTTCTTGTACACTCAGTGGAATGGGAAGACACAAATGCTAGCCTCACATGACTGATTTATTCATGACAGCAAGCAAACAGGAAGGCTAAGGATGAAAAACACTAATCACATGCTCACAGTTCTCATCACAGTAACTATCACACAGGGATGTTGCTATCACTGCCCACCATCTCCATTCCCGAGCACCCTGGTGACCACCTTGTTTTCCTTTTAAAATAATTTTACTGCCTTCACACTTTGACTAAGTAGTAACTAATAGGTCACATAGTAAAACTATAAAAAACTCCATTATAAAAGGTTATGTCCCCTCCCACCCCTGGCTTTGAGTATAGTTCTTTTCTAAATTCTTGGATATCTACCTGGAGATTTGAGTACACTTTTTAGCAGATAAGTGTGTTTTGCAAGCATGGGATCTATTATACATTCTTTAGAATACACTTTTATGTTTTAATATAAAGTATATTTTTTAAAAACGTTTTACATATTTGGTTGTGGAACATACGCATAGCAAAAGACACACTCTATCAACAGTTCTCTGACACAGTTAGGGACACTGATCACATGAGTTGTACATTCTCATCCTCCCTTTCTAAATTGTTCCTCATTTAACAGAACCTCAATGCTTCCTAAGGTCCCTGCCTAATCTTTTAGGTTACGACTGTCAATTTGATCCCACATAGATAGTTCTGAAATCAGTCTAGGCAAGCATTTTTACTCATTTAGCTACTATTTGGCTGCTTTTTGTTTTGTTTTTAATTTCAAAGTCCGCTGTGTGTTCTACTTTATTTACTTTTAATAGTTTTATTGGCAATCACCACCACAGTGTCAGAAAATTTTCTTCTTGCTCGTACTCGTTGTTAGCTCGCCATTTTCCTCCCAACCTCCCCTGCCATACCCATCTCTACAAATTGATTTATCCTGGATTTCTTATACAGAAAACCCTACACAATGAAAACAAGAAACAAACCAAAAGAAACCCAACAACAATGACAAAACAGAAAAACCTCCATCAAAAAGAAAGAAAATATTAAAAACGGATACAACTTTAAAAGGTGTCAAAAGGGAGATGTCAAGTGATAAATTGTGACATTTTTTCCTAACTCCATCTGCCATACTAACTTTACAATGCTGTCTGATAGCAATACCATTCATATCCCTAGACTGTGATCAGAGGAGATTTCCCAGAGGCACAATCCATGTGGGGACTTTGCAAATGGATTTTGGGTTTCCACTTTTACCCATATCCTTCTGCAAATGGGATGTTAAGAATTTAAGCTCTGTTACCATTTCTTCCTTCAAATTTGTATTTTATTATTTACAATCCTTGGATCACACAAGCTGGTGTGACTTAGTTGATGTATGGTTTCGTTTTCAGAAGACTTCAAGAGGTGCTTTTGGTTTAGGATTTAAAGATAATCTTAAGGCAAGCGTTTTCAGGGGTTCATCTGTCCTCCATGGCTCCAGAAAGTCTACAGTCCATCCATGATCATTTAAAATTTTATTCTGCATTTCCCCTTTTTGGATCAGGATTCTTTTATGAAATCTTTGATCAAGTTATTCAGTACTGGTAGCTAAGAACCATCCAGTTCTAGTCTAATAGCAAAGGAAGTAGGTGCTCATGGAGACAATAAACTATACATGCCACATCTTCCTGTGCCCTGCACGGACCCTTGCAAAGTTATAAGACCCTAAGCATTACACAATGAGCTAGGAGGCAGCAGAGAAGGACTAAACACATCACCAGGCCAAGTACTGGGATATCCTATAAACCCATGAACCTAAACTTCAAACCATGGAAATAAGTCCCACGAGGTATTTGGTACAAAATAAGCAGCCTCCACAGCTCCTCTCTCTCTTTTTTTTGGTCATTAGTGTAAATATATAAGACAACTCTTGCAATTCAACTTTGTCCAGTCATTGTCTTTAACAGATGCAGGAATGGCTGGCAGTACTGGGAAAAGACAAAGGAGGAATTTGCATTCTTAGAAACAATATTGGCCAAATTCTGTAGTCATTAACTTGCACAGAAAAACAAGAGAACTACATATACAATAATACATCTAGAAGATTCACCTACGAAAAGTGTGTGATCTCTTGCCTGCTCCGCCTGGAACCTTCTCCTGCCTACATAAGTGAGGCGTATATCCCTTCACTCTCCAAATGTGTCTTTCAACTTTCTCTTAACTAAGTTAAATACTGCAACTTAATTTGCTACTAATCAAGTTATAGTTGGATGATAACTATGTCCAGGGTGGCCAGGGCCAGCAACCCTGGGGATCTTATTGATGACATTTCTAAGACTGAGAGATACTGACAAAGAGGATGGGAAGTAAAGCCAGTCCATAACAACGGATCGTTGGAAGGACTGGGAACTCTGCTCAGTCACTTCAGACACTGGGTAGTTACTAGGCTAGTTCTGTCTACTCTGAACTAGATATAAGGCTTAATTCATGGCAGTTCCTCTTTTTAGATGAATGTCTTCCTGTGCAGGAAAGGTTTTTGGCTACAAATTCCAGGAGCTGACTTGATCCAAAGCCGCAGACTATTTTCTCTACCAAAATTCTTCAAATTTTAAATCTGAAGAAGAAATAAAACAAAACAGATTTTGCCTACCACATTAAGGTCATTTGTACATCCAGTCTAATGGCAATTAAATACTCCTGAAATTCCCTCACCTGTTCCACTTATACATGCTCAGAAACAACAGTGCTTCCCCTCGCCCTCCAATTAGGAACTATATGTAAATTAACAGGAATAGGAGACCCAACTGGCCTCTGTCCCACCAGCTGCGAATACAATGTATGTGAGCGTCAATGACTACTAAGAGGTCACAACTCAGCCGACCTGTGCTGGAAAGCTAAGAAATTCAGACAGAAGAGAACCCACCACCGGTGGAGACTATCAGAACAAGACCATCCATTGTGTGTAGTAAGAAGAGGAAAATCAGATTCTGAATACTTTTTGTAAATTTACCGCTCTTGAAGATGAGATTAAAAAGGCAATCCCATATATTGTTGAAGGAACATAAATTGATGAAGCAATTTTGGGGCGAAAGCAATCTAGCAGTATGTGTCAAGAGTTTTTAATGATCATACTCTTGGACATACTAATTCCACTTTGGGAACTCTATATTAAAAAACAAAACCAAACAACAAAGCTTCAATATAGACAAAGCTTTATTCACAAGTAAATTCATCATAGCATTATTATGAAGATTAAAACAACTGAAAATAAGTTAACTATATAGTAATAAGACAGATTAAGCCTTTAATTATGTATCTGAATGTATCTATATGTATACACATACAAACACACCACATATTATAGAACTATTCAAAGTAACCTCAAAACACCACAATACAAAAGAAAACCACCACAATAATTTGAAAAATGTGTTATGTAAGTTAACAAAAGAAGGGGACATAATATGGCACATACATATGATTATGGATATTTATAAACTATGATTTAGAGAGTTTGTAAAATTTAGATAAAAATAAAATACTATTATACACATTTTAATAGAAATATTGAAATTATTATGAGATCATCATTCTTATTCACTGAACAAATTCTACACTACAGAAGAAGAAAAAGCACAAGGCCTTGTGGTAGTTACATAATCTGGTGTCAATTTGAGAGGATTATAAGTGAAGGGGTGGAGGAGTCTAATCTGTCAATCGGATCATAGTCAATGAGACCTCTGTGTAGGCATGGCCTTCTGAGAATTTTGGGAATTGCTGAATTTCCTCCTTGGAGGCGGGAGACATCTCTCTCTTTACTCACTCCCTTGGAGACACTCTACTGACAAGTCACATGGCCCTACACTGATAGACCCCGTGCCCTGGGAACTGGAGAAGCCACGTAGAGACCCCTGTCAGCACTGAGATGCTTACAACGCCACTGGATCCAAAGACTTTCTACCCACTGGTCTGTGATGGATGGTCCTGCATTCGGCGTCATTGCGTGTGTTTTGTGAGTCTGAAGAGGACTTTTTAGATTGGTATCGGACATAAGGGCTAATATCAGACTTTTGGGCTTGGACTGGACTGGGTTGGGATGCGTTCTTAATGTACAATTACCCTTTATATAAAACGCTCTCTAATACACATGAGTTTCTATAGATTTATTTCTCTAGTCTACCCAGACTAACACAGGCCTTTCCTGCCCACATTAGATATTTCCTGTATTAAACAATAAAATCAGCATTCATTTAAAATTCATCATAGAAAAACAACAAAAATAAAAAATAAACAAAAATCATCATAGGTTATCACATAATGTTCAATGTAATTTTTTGTTTGTCTTCTACAAGGCAAAATGAAGACAATCATTTCTGTTGACTTTTCTGTGAAAATATTTTTACAACCTGATGATCAAGGTTAAGTAATGTTTAATATGTTTCCAAAACATGACCTGATCCATTTTTAGAAAATATTCTGTTAACATTCATGCTGTAATTCCTATACTATTTTTTAAAGAAAATTCTAATGTAAAGGTTACTAATGACAAATTAATGGTTTTGTGCATCATTATCACTTTGAAGCCTTTCAAAAATACAGATGCTCTACGTCAAGCCCCCAAAGAGTCTTAGTCTGGGATGATGTCCAGGCATCAAGAGTTTTTAAAAGCTTCCCAGGTGGTGCCAATGTGCTACTTGGACTAACATTACTACTAATTGTGGTTCGTTTAAAACTATTTAATAATGTTGAAATAAATTCTGAAATAAAGAAAATAGCATACTTACACTGAAACTTTCTAAGGTTGATCAATCCATGGTCTCTTATAATTCTAGAATGAAAAACCACAATAATCTATTATTATTATTTCAATTTTAGGATTATATATATATATATTTTAATCATTTTATTGGGGGCTCATACAACTCTTATCACAATTCAAACATACACCCATTGTGTCAAGCACATTTGTACATTAGATGTCCTCATCATTCTCAAAGCATTTGCTTTTTAATAATATGTATTATTGTATTCATTTCACATGTAGTTTTTAATAGAAAGTCTAAGCACGCAGAGGTGGAACACTGAGGCATACAAAAGTCTCTCCCCACAAAGTTCTGCAGGTCAGTGAGTCACTGGACACTTATGTACCCCAGCATCACGATTTTCCCTCCCTACAGCAAAAGAGGCTCTCAATAAATGTGCTATCCACAAGCGCTCACTAATACTGAAAGAGGTCTGCCTCTTAAGATGAAACAGAAGGGATTGTGTGTCCACATCACCAAAATTAATCTATTCAAATTGGGGAAATGACCACTGACAACAGCCATTTAAGAGAAACCTATTAGCCATCAAAAGGAACCATGATTTGGCAGTGACCATTTACAATTGTGCATGCACATAATGCTTTGCAGCCATTTGAAAATAAATATACATGCCCGGTGCATGTCTTAATGGAAGGGCATCACAAAGCACAAGATCAAATAACAGCCTTGTTGAGTTCTACAATAGTCTCTGGCTTCAGTTTTGTGTTTCAAGCCAAACAGAATTTAAGACAGCCAGGAAGTCTTCTGTCTGGAACCTCTGACTCGTACAGCAGTATTGACAACCAAGAGTGGCTGGGCAAGCTGCTTCAGCACACCATGAAAGCTAGCGCCAGACATGTACAGTAAGCTGGAGCTGAAGTCGCATCTTGATCCCTCACGAGTGCCGCCTAAGTTGCTTTCTTTCTTGCTGTTGGGACAGCACTGTGTCTCTATTCACTAATGTGCCTCCACACATATACACTATCACACCCGCTGCACAAACTTCTCTGAACTGTTTAAATATCTGTAATCCAAAAGGGGCCCGGGAACCATAATTTCTCAATCTCAGTGCATTATGAGGGCGTTTGGGGAAAATGGAATTGTTCATTCTATTTGGAAAAATTGAAGTTAATGGAAAAATGAAACTTTTTTGCAGCTCCCTCGTAAATTTTGATCTGTTACAATGAGAAGGAATAACCAGGAGTCTCTGGAACTTGTTCAAAATTTCTTTGCAATTCTTCTACATCAAATGGTTCTTATTGGGGGTGAAAGGACGGGGGAGGAGGGAGGGCACCTGTGAGAAAGAAAGCATTAAAAAAAACCTTAACACCTTACTAACATTATGAATTTATCTTTTTCAAAACAGTACACCCAAGAAATGACAGTGCTGGTCAATACCCCCAGCACAACAGTGAGAGGGAAAGAGAAGGTAAGACCTTCAGGGGGGCGGGTGTGTGTTTATGTATGTCATTATCTTCATTTGACAAATGGAAAATTTGAGGTCCACGGAGGATAGTGTTTTCCCCATGGTCACAGTCACAGGTAGAATGTTCTTATATCTATGCAGGCAGTAGGCCACGGCTGAAAGTCGGCAGGATAATGTTCTATACAGTGAACCCTCGCCACT